ACAGAAAGCAGTTTCCAAAATGCTAGGGAATTTATAATCTGTCCAATAAAGAGCTGTCTAACAGTCTTAACACTGGTGGAAGTGCAGGGACTCTGTAATCAGAGATGTCATGTCCTTACAGAAACATCATCCAAGTGATTTTGTTTTTACATGCAGGGAGTGGAAAAGCCGGAGGAGAGAGCAAAAAGAATGGCTGGGAATTTTCAAAATGTGAAAAATGAATTGGCAATGCATGTCCTGTCATAATATTCTTCTAAACAAGTGGCACAATACCTGACAGTTTGTAGCCTTGTAGTAGATTATTTTGGCAGGACATTTTATGTGCAGAAATAGGACTTTGAAATACAGCACAATGAGAGGAATTGCTGAGTCTCTAAGGAAGAGAAAGGTATTTGGCAAAGGTTTAAGATTATTCTTTTTAAATCAGGCAAAAAAGCTGTATTGTATAGAGTGGGCAAAAATTGAAAACACAAGTTCCAAGCACACTGTCTGACTTCTCATGAAAAGAAAACAGAAATCTTAATGCTAAAAAAAAAAATCTCTAGACCTCATTTATTTTAAAAAATTGTTTCTTTTGCAACTTTTGTAGTATCCAGCAAATCTTAAATATTATGCAGTTAGTGCTTTATTTATTATAATTGCTGAATAAGAGAATTACTGTGAATTTCTTTGGTGGTGTTAGAGTGACGTAGCTATGATGGTTCAGGAAATATGCAAGAGGCAAGTCTTTTTGAGTGTTTATCTTTTATTAGACCAACTACATGGTTGGGATACACTTAAACAAGCTTTGGGTGCAGTTGTTTCACCTTCAAGTCTGTGCAAATAGTAGGTACAGTGAAAAATTAAAAAGAGTTTATGGGGCTGAGAAATTCCCAGGGGCAGTGGATGAACAAATCACAGAGGAAAGGACAGCTTGTTTAGTAGAAGATCATGACCTTTCAAGAAGGAAGAGGATTGCTGTTGCCTTTAGTGTAAAGAAACTGGAATCTACCTGGCTCCAGATCTGTGTCCTGAAGTTAATATCCATGTTCAGTCCTTGGTTCTTAGTGTGCAAATTTTTGTTCCCAGGCTCACCTTTTGAAGGTATTTTTTAAATTTTCCTTGAGCATAAGGAAACTGAGCTCAAAATGGAGTGGATGTGTGTGAAAAAGCATTCTGCTGCATGTGTTGGTGTGTCTGTCTTGCATCTTTTTCTGTGATCATTCATTCTGATGAATAATTTAGAATAGTTTCACCCACGCAGTTTCTATGAGGGCATTTGGTACAGTGGATGAGATTATACTATGGTTTTTGGGATAGGAATGAGTAAGGTCTATGGGTTATGACGGGTTGGTTCACTGTTGGGGGGGGGTGATTCTTATAGCAGTGTAGATTTGCTGACATTTTCCACCTATTGTTAAGGCAAGACTGTGTCACATGTGATGTCTCTTGAAGAGCAGGGAGTTTGCTTTTTGATAAGTTGGGTTAGGGTAGGGAGTTTGAAAGCCAGAAGTGGAGCATGGGAGGTCATGCAGGTGAGGGTAGGGGCTGCAGGGGGGTTCTTTTTGTGTTGTACCTGATTTAATGCAAGTCTTTTGGGTGACTTTTTCAAAGACATGATCTATATCTCAGCTGTACTGTCCTTGTATGAAGGCAGATTTCAAGATGGATATTGTTAGGATTCTCTGCCGAGCAGAAGTGGTAGTATGTGGGCCTGACAATAGATTACAGCTTTTTTTGAGTGTGCTTAGGATGATTGTTGGTTTTGTGGATGCAAGTATAGTGGTCTGTAGCTTTTTTTGTGTGTGCATATAATGGTTTGTGGGGTGCCATCCTAGGTTTGGATCATCATACCCAAAATGTTAATAGGAATATTCTAGGGACAATTTGATTGAGGGGTGATAGTTGTTAAACCTGTGGTGGAAGTCTAGTAAGTGAGTCCAGGAGTTCAGTGCAAGTGAGGAAAATATCAGCTTTGAAATGCAAGTAGAGTATAGGTTTGATAGTGCAGTTTTCTAAGAATTACTTATATCAGGTGGCTCATGAAGAGGTTGACCTATTGAGAGGCAGTTCTTTCTTTATTTTACCTACAGCTGTTCCCGTGGTTTGAAGAAAATGATGATTGTTGAAAATTAAGTTGTGGGTTAGGATGAAGTAGACAATTTGTGCAACGTGCTGTGGCAAATCTAAGTATAATCCAAGTATTTAGGGTGGCAGCTGTGCTTTTCATGGTGTGGGATATTGGTGTACAAACTGGTGACAACCATGGTTACAAGTATAACCTTCTTGAAGAGGTGGTCAGTGTTCAGGATATTAAGGAAGTTGGTTGTGCCATGTTTAAAAAAAACAACAACCAAAAACCTTGCTTTTTGAGGCTAGGGACAGACATTACATGTGCACTGGTTTAAGTAATCAGAAACTGGTTTAAACCTGTAACCGCAGAAGGTCAGTGCACATAAACCAGTTTTAGGCATTTTGAAACTGGTTTAAGGTAAACCTAGTTCAATGTAGTATCAGACTTAACTGATTTGGGTCAAACTGGTTTATGCAGTGTCTGTCCCAGACCCCTTCCTGATCTAAGTTAAATCACAGTCCCTCAGCATCCCAGCATGCTCTCTGGGCTGGGCTCTCTCCTCCAGCGGAGCAGGGCTGGCCCTGCCCCTCTGTGCTTTAACCTAAGAAGGGGCAGGGACATGGTGAGACACCAGCTGGCCTCGCCCCGTTAAGGCAAAGTGGGCAGGGAGAGGGTTAAATCTTCCCTCCTTCCCCTTCCCCCACAGCCGGGGCCTGCCCTTCTGCTGGAGAGGAGGGGGTGGCTGGGGCTGGCAGACCCTGGCTGTGGTCTCTGGGGATAGAAGGGATAAAGAGAGGAATTAATCCTGTCCCTGTCCCGTTCACCTTAATGGGGCTGTGCTAGGTTGGCGTCAGGCCATGTCCTGCCGCTGGAGTAGTGGGGGGATGGGGACGGGCAGCAGCTTTTGTCAGACTCCCCAGGAGGGGGTTTATTCCCCACTTCCCTTCCATGCTTTGCAGGCAGGAACCACAGCTGTCCCAGAATGGCCCCATTAAGTCTAAGGGGGCAGGGAGGGAATTAATTCCCTCCCCCCTGCCCCAAAACCACGAGAATGCAGCTGGGGCAGAGAGTAACCTGCAAAGATTGAATCAATTTAGGCCTGCGCTTTTTGAATGTCTGTCCCTAGCCTGAGTGGCAAGTGGTTTCAGAGTAGTTTCTTTGAATCCTGATAGCAATAAGGGTAATATAGTTGGAAGTGATGCGTCTGCCAGATCCCTATCCATCCATATTTCTGTTAAGCTTTTGAAGATTCCACGCTTGTCATCAACTTGAGACTTGTATCGGAAACTTTCTCAAAGCTGTAACTTTGTTTTTCCCCAAGAGACAGGTGATTTTGCTTAATATTGAGCTGTCTTCCCTTGCTTAAGCAGATGTTTTGCTGTCCTGGCATAGAGCAGTTTAATCTTGTCCTTTTATGTTCACTCTTCCTTCCAAAAATCTATTAATCATTTCCAGTGCTAACTATACTGTCAGCATAATTGCAAATGATATCATGGGATCGCACGTACCGTGTGTGCATATGGCTAGGACAAAAAGCTCTCATGAGAGGCTATTTTGTAGCAGATAAATTTATTGTAATGCACATGTGCATAGCATTTAATTTTGCTGGATGACAGTTTTGTATTTTGGCCTGGATAAACTCATGCAAACTGTAGATTTTTATGGAGGCAGCCATGTGTAGAAATACACAATCTGGGGTCTGCTATCTAACCAAGTGGAGAATACAGGTTTTTGCAAAAATCTGAACAGCTTGTCAAACCATACAATTCGATTGCTACCTTGAGGATAATTTATTGCCCTCAAAACTACCATTTCATGCTAGGTAGATTTGTTTGGCATGTCAGGTAGTGTAAATGATGAAAAGTAATAGCACAATTATGTAGCTTTTTATGATTAATGTTGCAATAATTCATTAAAAACACTTGAGTGCAGGATTTAAAAAAATATTTAGTTACTTAACTCCCCTTGGTTGCCCCAATAGCTTTGTAGTTGGAATTTATGCATGTGGTCATCAGGCAATGCATCTTTCAGGTCCCCCGCTTTACACTTTTTTCTTCCCTTAAGAAATCTGGTGAGAAGTTAATAATTAAAACTGCTGATGGATGTAACCCCTCCCCCCAAAAAACCAAACCAAACCAACAACTCAGCACTTTACCAGAAGAAGAACCATGTTAGTTTGATCCCACTCCCCAGCATCTGTATAGATCGGGTGCTTCAGCAGGGCTTTTTGGTACTTTTAGCTGATTCAATCAGGCCCCACTAAAGCACTTGATCCATACAGACATTGGGAGAGCTGGGTCAAATTAATGTGATGCCTCCAGAGACTACCTGAGCAGAGTGCAGGACCTGGGGCAAGTCAGCCTGTGCGGGGCCCTGCCCCCAAAACCACGCACCCTGGATGTGAAGAAGGAAGCACCAGGGGGAGGTGCTGGCGAACGGCGGGATGCGAAGCTGGCAGTGGTGGCACAGAGTCGCTCCAGCTGCTCTGCCTGACTCTGCGGGGCCTGGGATGGTCGTCCCTATTTGCTCCTAACCCCCCCCCCCCGGGAATAGGGACAGCCCTGGATGCTTCTTTTGGGCATGCACTGTGCTTGGTGCAGGGGCATGCTAAGCTGAAAGTAAAGTGCTGTTTTTTCCACATCTGTAAGCACCCATATTGACAAAGTGCAATTTGAAAGTAAGGTCCCATTTAACTGCCAGTCTTTTGACATCAGGTTTAGATCGCGCCTCCCAAGGTGTTTTATTATAAGACGCATCAATTTATTTTAGTTTTAGAATCTTTTTTTTCCTTTTTGTTTAGAAAAAAGTATAGATTTCCAGAATTGGTGGCAACTTAAAGCTATGTGTAGAGTAGATGTAGTAATAGATTACTAATATGGCTCTCTTTGCTCTCTTGCCTTTTTAAAAAAACAAACAACCCACACCTAACCTTACTCTCTTTCCATAGCTATTGACTTGAAAAATGGTTCTGGAACAGTATATCAAGGCCCTGCACAGGGTTCTGCTGATACCATCTTTACTCTCTCTGATGAAGACTTCATGGAGGTGGTCAAAGGCAATTTAAATCCACAAAAGGTAACATTTTGCCATGTTACTTGACACATCTTTATTTATTCCACTCTGAAACATCTCAGTAATCCAGTTTCTAATCTGCAGATAATCCGAGCGAAAAGACGGTCTTGTTTGATGTTAATGTGACGAGCCCTGTGCTTCTCTAGAGGGTTCTTCCTCTGTGTACAGTGATCACCATTATAGACCCCCAGTTATCACAATATGTATAAGACACGACATCATTTCCCTTTTCTAGTTGTAGAGAAATAAAAGAGATCTCTTAGATACCATTCTGAATGACTTGTATAAACTCGGTGAATATGCTAATACTCTGACACACAAAACTAATATTTTGTCTGTTATGAATATAATAAATAATATAGTAAAGAAGAAGAACCTATTATTGTTCTTTTTGGGACTGTGCATCTCTTTTATGAGCAAACACAGATGTATTAAAACTGAACACAGTCCCTCCAGTGCTAGGCAGTTTGCATATGGAAAGAATCGAGATGTGTAAAATGGAATCTTCATTTTACTATTTTCAGCAGTTCTTCCTGAGTTATTTAAAATCATTACAACTGCCTGTTATACCTCTAATATAATTTTATTCAGATTATAGATTAAAAATTGGTTAAATGTAAAATCTTAATTAGTTCTTCCTGTATTAGGTAAAGAAACTGAGGTTGAGTACTCGGAATCTAAAATTGATCATTTGTTGCATATTTTATGCAACACCTATATAACTGCATAAGCAACAGTAAAAATTGTTTGTCGCCTTTTGCATAAAGCAAGCAAACTCCTGAACAAACAAAACCATTCACTTGCATATCTTACTGTTTTAAAGATTAAAGTGATTGCAGTTCATGTATATTATTTGCAGTTAGCCACTGATATTTTGTTTATTTCTACCTAAAGAAACCTCGACTTCTATCCACATTCCCTACAACTGTTGCCTTCAGTTTATTGGTGAACTTACTAGGACAGAGGCAGGCAAAACGTGGCCCGTGGGCCGCATCCGGCCCACCAGGCCATTCTATCTGGCCCACAGGGCCCCTAAATGTTTTTACTAAATTAATATTTATTCACCCACATCTGCCTATCAAAGCTGATAGGAACCAGGGGCAGTAAGGCCCAGAGGGAGCTCTCAGCAGGCTTGGGCAACTCAGCCCTGCCCACCCCCAGCCAGTTCCTTGCTTTCCTGCCCCCGGCCTGCTACAGCCCCACTGGAGTGGCTGTGGCTACAGGGGGGAGGGGTGTGTGGGTGTGTGTGTGTGTGTGCGCGCACGCACGCGTGCATGCGTGCTGGCTCGGGGCAGTGTGTGTGTGTGTGTGCGCGCGTATGCATGTGCAAGCACAGACTCGGGGGCAGTGTGTATGCAGGGTCGGGGGAGTGTTTGTGTATGCAGGCGCGGGGACAGAGTGTGTGTGCGCGCGCGCAGGCTCGGGGACAAAGTGTGTGTGTGTGTGTGTGTGCAGGCTTGGGGACAGTGTGGGTGTGCGTATGCATGCAGGCAGGCTCAGGGGCTGTGTGTGTTCAGAGGGCGAGTCCCACAAGCACACCCCACCATACACATGCACACATAACCCTCTCACCCTGCCATACACAAACCCCGGCCACCCTTCCCCCACACGCAGCCCCCACAGACCCCATACGCACTCGCACCCCACATATTCACACACGTACCTGCATGCTCAATCACGTCTATGTACATGACACAAACCCATGTAAATCAAGACAAAAATATTTTTTAAAATCAAATTAATGAGTGTTGTAGATGTTTGCTTGTTAGAATATAATTTGGTCTTTTTCTGGTTCCGAGATGGCAAAACCCCTTGCTGAAAGAAGTACTTATGGGGGCAAGGGGAGGTGCTTCAGGTGGCAAAGGTCAGGGGTTAGAGGGTGGGACTTCTGGTCACAAGATGGTGACCAGGGGGCAAGGCTACCCATGCAGCCCTTGACAGCTTGTTAAAACTTGGTAAGCAGCCATCCACTCAAAATAATTGCCCACCCCTGTACTAGGAGCAGAGTAGGATTCACTGCTTTTTTTTTTTTTCCTGTCCCCTGAAGTTGTAGTAGTAATGTGATACATCCGCATGCCTTGCATTCTGAGGGGCATGGCAGAATGATAGTGGGGCCTTTCATGTCTATGCTAAATTCTGGCAGTGAACACTTTGGGCACCTATACATGAGCAGCAAGGCTTCTCCCACGCGCTGTAATTGATTGATCAAGTCTGCTACAGCATGGTAATTACCGCACTGCAGCAGACTCCAGCATCCTGTGTATCAACATCCCTGTGCTTAAAAATGGTGGTGGAGGCACTTTAAAGCTTGTTCAATGAGCTTTAGTTAGCACCTCCTCCACCACGTTTAAGCACAGGGACGCTGATGCAAAGACACTCTGGGCACTTTAATTGGAGTAGCTCTCGGAGCCACTCTAAATAAAGTGCCCCTCCCCCTGGAGCACACGTATAAATGCCCTTTAAGAGCGGATTGCTTGAGAGATCTTAGAAAACAAAATCCTTGCACACCTCCTTCAGCAAACATTTTGTCTTCCCCACACTTTCTCTAATCACTAGTTTTCTGTATGCTAGCCAAGTGCAGGAGAATAGGGTTGGGGTACAGGCAACTAACCCTGAATGCCAAAAAGTATGGTTTGCAAAGCACTTTTGGATGTTGCTGATTCCTTTTCTAAATCAGTGCCCAGGTCTGGTGCCCTTCTTTCCTGCCCTACCTAAGCTACTGCTAGTGATACTAGATGTCATATGTGGTGAGGCTTAAAGTGTCTTTTATGTATAACTAATTGACTTTGCTTGGTGAGGATTTTTTCACTAAAACTTGAATAAAAGTAAATCTCGATGTACTTTCAAAAACAGACATTTTGAAATTGGTCAAACAGTTGACGAACACTTACGTGTGGTGTTTTTTTTGTTTTGTTTTGTTTTCCTTCTGTGTCCTGCAGGCATTCTTTTCTGGTAAACTCAGACTGAAAGGTAATATTATGCTGAGCCAGAAGCTGGAGATGATTCTCAAAGATTATGCCAAACTCTGAATTGTTTGAGGGCCTCCTACAGTAGTCGCCTTAGAAGAGCAAGAACGGCTGTCATCTCAGAAACAGAGTTTGAAACTTTCTGGAGCATTATGCAGATTTCTTACTATGTTCTGATTCACTTTACTGCTAATATAAAAGTTGATTTGATTGTTGCAGGGGCAAAAAATGATGAATCTAACTAGTATCTTCTGTTCCTCAGTAAAAGTAAAGAATCATATTTCTGTCATATCATAACTTTATCTAAATAAAACTGATGTAGTTCGTACAGAATTTATATATATTTCTATATTAATTCTGAAGAGAAATTAAATTAAGAAAACACTTTAGTGCCTCCTTCCATTTGTCTGGAGTCTTCTTTAATCTTGCTGTCGTTTTCTCACTCTCTCTCTCTCTTTCTCTCTCACACTGCCTATCAAAAGAAAGGCCTTACTTTTTATATTTAGTTCACTGGCTCTTTGTGGCCTCCTGTAATCATCTGATAACTAGAAATTGGCTTTAATCATTAACTTTGAGTCTGCATTTTTTTTATGTCCACCAGAAAATGGTCTGCATTTTTTTTCTATGTAGATGAGAAGGTTCTTGGATTTTGGTACTGTGTCATTATACTCAGATGGTTTGTCATTTACACAAATTTACTTTTAATATTATACCAATTAAATGAAAATTCACTGAGTGTTTCTGTGTAAGCCCCTTATATTAATTAGATGTTTCTTGCAGTGCATTTTTGAAAGCTTTGTACTTCTGTCTAAGAAAATGACATGCTGTAATAAAGCATGTTGGGGAAAAAGCTGTTGGCTGATCCTGGGGTGGACAGGACAGGGAATGGATCACTACACGTATACTCTGTTCATACACTCTCCCTCTTAAAACATCTATTTGTCACTGTCAGAGATAAGGCACTGGACCAGATGGAGTATTGGTGCAAGCCAGTATGGCACTTTTAATGTTCTCAAGGAGGAATGTCAAAAGATGTGGCCTGTGGAGCCACACCATCCAGCCCCTGGTGCTGGCTCTGGATCTGAGTTGACCCAAACATGGCACGTGCCAGACTGGCCTCATGTGCAGGTCCTGGATATGTGCAGCCTGCGGTATTCACTCCAGGACCCATGCAGAGAGCCAGTCTGGGACCCCCCTGCATATTGGATCCAGTGGCCTTGACGTGCATTCTAGCTGGTCCAGGGGAAGTGCCATATGCAGTGCAAGCCCTGGAGCAGGTGCCAGGTGTAGCACTCGCTTTGGACTGACTGGAGTGGGCATCATGCGCATGTATCCTGCACTGGTTGGAGCAGGTGCTGTCAGTGCTGGATCCAGCATGGGTGAGGGGCATCCGTGGTCCCAGTCTGGCCTGCTGGGTCATCCCCAGGCTGGTCCTACACTGCTGTTCTAAAAGGACACTCCTGTTCTAAAAGGCTTGCAGCATTATTCCTTCTGTTGTTCCTCCTGTTACCTACTGCACAAGTAAGCCAAGGTTTGCAGGTATATAATAAGCATAGTAGAATTTAGGAGTGTAGTAAATCCCTCAGGCTGTTACCACTTATTGTCACACCAGCAGCTGAGGTAAAATGTGTTGGCTTGTAAGACAGGTTGTATGTTGATGATTTAAATTATTATCTGCTATTGCTGCTATGTATGTTACTAGCACTTGTTTCCACAAGCGTATAACATGAAGGAAGTAGTAGCTCCCTGTATCTTGAAATCATCTGGAATCTTTTTTATATGACATTTTCTCTGTATCTTGCTTGGTCTTTTGCTGTCTCTGTGACTCTTTAGTGACTTTTGCTTAACAATTATAGGAAACTGGGTAAAATGAATCTATACAGGTGATAATTAGTTAGTGCATTGGGGAGAGCTTAAAGCAGTTAGCAGCCATTCTTTGTGGAGAGCTTTTCAGCTGAAAGGCATTAGATTGCTGAAAATCTCAATTGCACAGCACCAAAGGCTGGTAGCAGAGTCAGTCTACTTTGATTTACAGAAATCATTCTCTGGAGGGCTGGCATAAGGGCAGTGAAAGACTTTTTGCTACATGAGACAAATCTAGGCCTATTTCAGAACAGGAAAGAGGTAATTGTCCATGGCACATTGAAGGAGTTTTTATTGCTGTTTTTAGGAGGATGATTTGTGGCTGTGGGCTGCTTGAAATTGTGGGACAGTTGTGTGGGCCATTAGGGACAATTGTTTGCTTATGAACACAGCAGACTGGACTTCATGGCCCAGGAGGTCCCCTCCTGTCTTGTGTCCCTATGATTCTAGATGAATGACCCAGAGGTGCTAAACCTAGCACTATCTCCATCTTTTTTCCATTTTATTAATAAAACAGTACAGCAGCTCCCCCTGCACCAGCAATAAGGCATGATGGGATCTGATGCCCAATCTCACAATCACTCCTCCTGCCATGTACATGTGGCATGGCAGGATGTGTGGTTGTTGAGGCCGTGCTTCAGATGTGATTGTACTTTTCAATGTCTGTCAGTGGCCTTAGGTTGTCTTTCTTTTTGATTCTAGATCATTCTGCTCTCTCTCATGGTCCCCTGCATGTCATTTCTTCCTCCTTTTCTACCAGAACTGGCTTTTTTTCTCTCTTGCTGCTACCTTATTTTTTCTTTGCTTCTCTACAGTTCCTCAGCTCTTCCTCATCAACTAGCTCATTATAGATTTCTTCTGCCTTGTTCTTGTGGTCACATTCTTTTGTGGATGATCTAGGAGTCTCCTCTTCAGATCCTTTTTTTTTAAATAGATGTCTGCAAATACTTGAGGTAGCTGTGCAGCCTTTTCTGCTCTCTCCTCCTCTTTCAAATCTACATGTGAATTCTATCATTGTCCCCAGCTCCATCTCAACCTCTCAGTCATCCTCCATGAATTCTAGTGAGGAACAATTCAGATGTAAATGGATTCTATTGAATATCCACTGAAAGATTATGAATTCTGCACGCAGTCATTTTTGTTGTTTCATATCCTACTTTACTTCTAGCACTCTCTTTGTAGCCATTAGAGTTGTCTCTTCCCAGTTCTTTTTATAAAGCAAAAGGACAACCCTGCCCCTATTTGCTGTATTGTTTGCTGGATATCTCTCACCTTGGTTTACCACTCTTATTTTTCTTTATATAAGCTTCTAAAACATACCATATTCACAGTGTTGGACAGCTGCAAGGAATTTTTCCTTGTATTTTGCAAATTAGTTAGTAATATTCTGAGTCGGGGCTGTCCAATTAGCAGGCATGAGCTGTATCCTGCCTGCTAGGGGTTAATGTGTGGTGCTCAAGCTCTTGCCTAGCTGCCATTCCTTTTCTTCTCCCCCTCTCATGAGGAGGAGACTCAGGCCTGTGGGGCAGTGTATCATGGTAGGCGGGGGTCCAGTGAGTTTGCTGCTGGCATGGTGGTGGCAGCACAGGGAGGGGGGAGTTGCACACCACCCATGTGGCGGTGATGGCAGGCTGCACACAGCAGGCATCTTGGGCGGTTTGTGTAGCGTATGGGCCCTATGGCGTGCAGCTTGCATGTTGTGTGGCCCAGTGTCCATTAGTGGTGTAGTGTGGGCCCCAGCTTCTCTGAAGCTGGACAGCCTTGTTCTAACTGTGGTTTGACAGCTTGGCTTACCATATGGAAGAAGCAATATTCTATAATTTGAACTCCTAACTTCTCTGCTCAGTGTTGCAGTATTAAATAGGACGCTAGAGCAAACAAAATCTGGCGCTGTGAAGCCAGTTAATTTCATTTGAGCTTGGAAAATCCAAATGTACACCAGCATATACCAGTGTACACTCTTAGAATGCAAACTGAATTAAGGAATGAACAGCATTTTAACTGCTTTCAGGATTTCTCCCCCTCCCCATCCCCTCTTCTCTCTGTATTATCCCTTTATTTCTGGGGATGGGAACAGTTAAGTAGCATTGCATAGCTTCCCTGGCCCACCACTTGCAAATTAACACAAGTGGCTGGCTGGCTAATATGTGCCAGTTTTGGCTGGCTAATGTATGCCAGTGTATCAACAGCATTGTCAACAGAAGTGTTCAAACAGAATAAAAAATATATATATATTGTGTTCATTGTGTGCTTTTATTTAGAGACTAGGTTTTAAAGCGTTTTCTCCACTATCAGAATTGTCATTTAAGAGAGAAACTTGAGAATCTTGCTTTACTTCAAGAGCTGCAGCTCATAGAAGCCATTCAATATAGTGAGTAAATTACTAGAGTTGGCAGCCCCCCCCCCGATTTGTTCTTGTATGCTTTCCTTTGGTGTTACTACGGCACCATTGGATGTGATGGGAACATAGTCTAATCCAAAAGAAATATCATTTTAATTATTCATGAACTTCTTCAGGTTTGGGAAAGAGCCACAAGAATTGGGTTGCTGTGGAATTTTCCTTATCGCCTTATATGCAGTGGTGATAAATGGGAAATGTGTGGTGCATTTGTGGGAGATGCGTAGTATTGTTGTACTTTCTTATTCACAATTTGCAGAATACGATTATATATAGACCATAGCCATATTGCTGCTGATGTTTGACTGACTGACGCTGTTCAACAAGGTCTCCTATCCAATATGAGTCGAGCAGCTTTGGATGATTTAATGATATGGCTTTCTTCATGTCTAAAATTGAAAGCACTCATATTATGTTTAGAGGTTAATTATAGATGTTAATATGCTTAAGTGCTTGTCCAAAGGACAAATGTGCAGCATCCATGAGACAGTTTAGATTGGAGTATTTTTAAATGACATTGGCTTGACAAAGGCATAATAAGAGCAGCCTCTGCTCCACCACAGCCCAAGAATGAAGGGCAGAAATTGTGTTAGTCATTAAGAAAGCATTGGGGTATGTAGAAGTTTGCACAGCTTTTTGACTAGTTAATGATAATGCTGTCTCTCCTGACTCTTCTGCATTTGCTATCATATCCATTTCCATTTGAATGTATTAAAGTGGAACACTTATTTTTCAAAGAGCATAAAATGATTTTGCACAAATAATGTACTTATCTCTTGCAATGTATGGTTATAGCTTGTCATTTTTTTGTGATATGTACAAAAAAGGCATAGGAACCTGCTAATATACATCATAGAGGATATTAATACACAAAATGTCAAGTATTCCAGCAATTAAGTTATATTGGAGATCTTTTCTTCAGCAAAGCTTTGGCTGTATGATTTGAGAAGAAGAAACTCACAAAAGAAAAAACTTACACTAGGAAGAAAAAATAGCAAAAAAAGAGTTCTGCATCAACAGATGAAACAAAATCTGTTGTAAAGAAGGTAAAATCTATCACAGCTGTTTATCT